TTCCTTTCTTTCCCATCCTGGAGGACTTCCTGGAGATCCCCATGCCTTCCATTATTCTCAAGTAAGTGGCTCTTCGGGTGACCTACACAGCGGCTTCCTCGGCTTTAGCCACGAGCGAGCCTCGTATCTTGGATGTACAGCCGTCCTTGACTTGGAAGAGTGTTGCGGTGGCCTAAGGGGGGAGCTCTCGCCTCACAATCAGCGGGCTGTGAGTTCGATCCTAGGTAGAGGCAGTTATTTTTCTCCCTGGGCACAATGAGAATGCATCTGCTGAACAAAACTTCGCCCTGGCAACTGGAAGGGCATCTGGCCATTAAATGCTCTGCTAGCTCCATTCAGCTGCCCAGACTCCACCCTGCAAGGGATTATGGGGCTGTTAAATGATAATAATAATAACAATTTCTTTTTTAAAAAGATGGTCCTTTGACTTGGTGGCTGTCCAAAGTTACAGCGGCACCAAAAAGAAAAAAAAGAATTCATTGCCAGGCAACAAAACAAGGAATTTTAAAACTTGAATATTTGCAATCTGTTTGTTGAAGAATATTAGCGTGCGAGTTAATGCTAAATATTTAGACCAGGGGTCCTCAAACGTAAACAGGGGACCAATTCACGTTCCCTCAAACTGTTGGGAGTGGTCGTGGAGGGGGGGGGGCTTTGTAGTCATGTGACTGGGTGGGCGTGGCCAATGTAGCAGTCCCTTAAACAATAGAAACAAATTAAACTTTGATTTGTTTTGCTTCTGGGGGTGTTTTATTTGTTTTTGTTCGCAGGTTGCTCTTTTGGCTGGCTTTTATCTTTGCTAGATCATTTCCCCCCCCAGTTGTTTAGGAATCTAGTGATCCACTTCGGGAAACTCAGTTTTGCAGCAATTCTTCTCAGCCCCAAGGAGATGTTGCAATTAACACTTCTCTCTCCCCCCCCTCTCTCTCTTCTGTGTGTCTCTTTCTTCTCTCTCTTTGTCTCTCTGTCTCTTTAGTCTCTCCTCTCTCTCTTTCTTCTCTCTCTCTGTGTCTCTCTGTGTCTCTGTCTTTTTCTTCTCTCTCTCTTTGTCTCTCTGTGTCTCCTCTCTCTCTCTTTGTCTCTCTGTCTCTTTTGTCTCTCTCTCAGTCTCTCTTCTCTCTGTGTCTCTCCTCTCTCTCTTCTCTCTCTTCTCTCTGTGTCTGTGTCTCTTTTGTCTCTCAGTCTCTCTCTTCTCTGTGTCTCTCTGTGTCTCTTTCTTCTCTCTCTCTCTTTCTGTCTCTCTGTCTCTTTTGTCTCACCTATATCTCTTTCTTCTCTCTCTCTTATCTCTGTGTTTCTTTCTGTCTCTTCTCTCTCTCTTTGTCTCTCTCTGTCTCTGTGTCTCTTCTCTCTCTCTTTGTCTCTCTGTCTCTTTTGTCTCTCTCTCAGTCTCTCTTCTCTCTGTGTCTCTCTGTGTCTCTTTCTTCTCTCTCTCTCTCTCTTTCTGTCTCTTGTCTCTCTCTGTCTCTCTTTTCTCTGTGTCTGTGTCTCTTCTCTCTTTCTCTCTGTCTCTTGTCTCTCTGTCTCTCTCTTCTCTCTGTGTCTCTCTGTGTCTTTCTTCTCTCTCTCTTTCTCTCTGTCTCTTTTGTCTCTCTGTCTCTCTTCTCTCTGTGTTTCTTTCTGTCTCCTCTCTCTCTTTGTCTCTCTCTGTCTCTTTTGTCTCTCCTCTCTCTCTTCTTTCTCTCTCTCTCTTCTCTCTGTGTCTCTTCTCTCTTTCTCTTTGTCTCTCTGTCTTTCTCAGTCTCTGTCTTCTCTCTGTGTCTCTCTGTGTCTCTTTATTCTCTCTCTCTCTTTCTCTCTGTCTCCTTTGTCTCTCTCTCAGTCTCTCTTTTCTCTCTGTATCTCTCTGTGTCTTTCTTCTCTCTCTTCTCTCTGTCTCTTTGTGTCTCTTTCTTCTCCCTCTCTCTCTCTCTTTCTGTCCCCCGGGGTGGGGAGAAGAAACCCCTGAACTGGCCCTGGGTNCGGGCGGGCTGGCTGGCTGGGCTCGCAGGAAACGGTACTTGCCGGCTGCGCGGCGGGGTTGCAGCGAGGCTGAGGTAAGGGGGGACTCCTTTGGGACTGGCCGGGGGATTGGGAGGGGGGAGTCCCTTGTAATCCCTTCCTTCCTTCCCTCTCTCTTTTCCTTCCTTCCTCCCTCTCTGCTTCCTTCCTTCCGTCCTTCCCTTCCCTACCTCCCTTTCTCTCTCTCTCCTTTCCCCCTTCTCTCTCTCCTCCTCCTTCCTTCCTTCCTCTGCTTCCTTCTTTACATCCTCCCCTCCCTCTCTCCTCTTTCCTTCCTCCCTCCCTCTGCTTCCTTTCCCCCCTTTTCTCTCCTTCCTCCTCCTCCTTCCTTCCTTCCTCTGCTTCCTTCCGTCCTCTCCTCCCTCCCTTTCTCTCTCTCCCCTCTTTCCTTCCCCCCTCCCTCCCTCCGCTTCCTTTCCTCTCTTTGTCCTTCCTTCTTTCTTCCCTCCCTCCCTCTCTTTGCTTCCTTTCTCCCTTCTCCCTCCTTCCTTCTCCTTCCTTCCTTCCTTCCTTCCTCCCTCCCTCTCTCTTCTTCCCTTCCTTCCTCCCCTCCCCATCCTACCCTTCCCTATCCCAAACCTCCACGGGTCCCCACCTCTGTCCCAGTCCCCAATTGGGCTTGGTGCAATAGAGAGAGGTGTCTCATCTCCCCCTCCTCTGTGTTTGCTGGGTGGGGAGGTATATTCACAAGAACCTAGCTTTGCACATGTAGGTGAACGGCCCATGTCCCAACCACAAATAACCCCTTCTCCTTCCTTTCCTCCCGCCTGCCTTCATTCATTTCCTCCTTCTCTCCTCCCTCCCTCCCTTCTTCCTTTCCTCCCTCCTTTACTTCCTCCCTCCCTCCTTCCTTTCCTCCTTTCTTCCTTTCATCCCTCCTTTCCTCTCTCCCTCCCTCCCTCCTTTCCTCCCTCCCTCTCTCCTTTCCTAGCTCATTTCCTTCCTTCCTTCCTCCTCCCTCCCTCCTTCCTTTCCTCCCTCCTTTACTTCCTCCTTCCTTCCTCTCTTCCTCCTTTCCTCCTTTCCTTCCTTTCCCCCCTCCTTTCCTCCCTCCCTCTCTTCCTTCCCTCCCTCCAAGCTCACCGATTCGTTCCCCTTCTCCCCTTTGCTCTCGAGGTGTTCTTTCATTTTCCTGCCTTGAAGCTTTTCTTGCTGGGAGAGCTTTTTGAAAACAAGCTTTCCCTAAAAGGTGGGCAGCTGGAGAATTTGGATGTCTGAATTTGGAATGGATGCAATTGCCCCGTCCCACTTTGCAGAGGAAGAGACTTTCTTGGACTTTGGTGTGTACAGGGGAGGCAAGGGACAAGCCTGGGTTTGACATGAAGTGGTGGGTGGATACAAATTGTGAAGGGCGGGTTGGGTTTTGTGCTGCCTCTGAACCAGCCCCGTAAGTCGCCCAGATTAATACCCAGTTGAACCTGTGGCAACGAAGCTCTAACCCAATTAGTTAAGCAGCAATGTTGTGTGAAGCCGGTTGCTTTGTGTGAAGCTGGTTGTGTTGTGAATTGGCACCACTTCCACGTTTGCTGGTAAGGGAGCTGGGAACCAAAGTCCAGCAAAAAGACATATTTTGTTTCATCCCTGCAAATTTCATCTGGACTGCTTGTGGGTCATCACTTTGGTGTTTATTTTAAACATTGGATTAGATAGATAGATAGATAGATAGATAGATAGATAGATAGATAGATAGATAGATAGATAGATAGATAGATAGATAGATATTAGATACAGATACAGATATATAGAGAGATAGATAGAGATAGATAGATAGATAGATATTAGATACAGATACAGATATATAGAGAGATAGATAGAGATAGATAGATAGATAGATATTAGATACAGATACAGATATATAGAGAGATAGATAGATAGAGAGATAGAGAGAGAGATAGAGATAGAGAGATAGAGAGATATTAGATACAGATACAGATATATAGAGAGATAGAGAGATAGATAGATATAGATAGATAGATAGATAGATAGATAGATAGATAGATAGATAGATGATAGAGAGATAGAGAGATAGATAGAGA